GGTTGGAACCAAGTTGTGGTGGACTTTCCATGACAAACAGAAGTCTGTGTCTGATCCTAAGGACAAGAAGGAATCACTGAAGGTTCTTAAGGAGGGAGCCAGAGTCGTCAGTCTTCTATTTTTGGAATATCAGTTTGGCATCTACGTTGAGGATTTATTGAAGAAAGGGAAAACCTTAAGGTAGGGAAACCAATTAGGAGCTTACTACAATAGTTCAGTGGACAGATGATGTTGGTCTCAACTAGGATCTTATCCATGTGAGTGAAGAGAAGGGCAAACTTTTTAAGATGGGACTTCCCTCAAAGGGTTTTGTGAGATGGATGTATTCATGGAGTCTGTGGGTAATGGGCATTGTTTATCTTTTTTTTTTCCCCACGGAGGCAAGAGCCGTGAACTCAGACTAACAGCATAAGTCACTGGACACTGCTCAATAGCTGGCCTTCTTCAAGATGTGCCCAATCTTCTCTGAGGATGCAAAGAATCATCACATTACATCCATTTCTTACTTGTTGGTTTCCTATATATTGATTTCTTATCATAACACTTCCCAGTGTTGGTGTATAAAAAGTTTGAGAGATATCATTCTGGGTGATTAATCATTTTATTAATCATGCTAGGAATAATTAGTAAAAGGGTTAGTGGCACTCTGTAATGCCAAAGACCCCTCTTGGAACTCACTGAATGGTTATAGGTCCTGGGAAGAGTGGGTGTTCCTAAGGGTAGTGTTCCTAAGGGTAGAAATCAAGTCTGATTGGTTAAGTAATTGATAGAATGAATATTATAATGAAAGGTGGACTTATTCTAATGAGGTCTGGGGGGAATTGTGACTCTGATTACTCAGTCTTGGTCAAAGAGACTTATCTATATCCACATCACCCTGTCTAGGATAATCTAGACAAAAGAGAAAATCCACTTTTTCCCAGACCTATCTGAGTAAAACACAATGGCTCAGAATTCACCAATTCACCTAAACTAAAATTTCTTTACCTTTTGAACAGATCTGAGTTTCTCTCTCATTATCAGCCCTGCACTTCAACATTCCTGCATAAACTACAGGGACTGATTTCTGAATAAGGAAGTTGAAAAGAGAAAAAATCTTGGTCCTAATTCAATAATTGGCTATTAATATGAGAGAAATAATAATTTCTCTCACAGTGTAGGCAGCTACCCAATGATCTCTTCTGTCAAATCTATAATTAGCATAAGCTTCAAGGATAGTCATAATTGTGCCTCTTCTTACCCCTACATGACGATTTTTTATGGGTCTTATGACACACAGTTTAACTGTCTTCTCTAGCTAAGTAAATTCTTCTGCATCCTTTACTCATCAAACTCTCAGCTTCCAAGCATTTGCTCAAGCTTGTCTCTCCATTCTCTACCTAGAATGCCCTTTCCATTTGTTTTTGCTTATCATTTTTCTCTCCTTTTCCTCTCCTTTTTTTGAACTGTTTAAAATTCACTTTTCCTTACTATTGTGCTATAAGAAATGATGAACAGCTGTGTGACCCTGGGCCAGTCACTTAACCCCAATTGCTTTAGAAAAAGAAAAAGAAGAAGAAGAAAAAAGAAATGATGAACAGGCTGACTTCAGAAAAACCTGAAAAGACTTGTATGGTCTTATGCTGAGTGAAGTGAGCAGGAACAGGAGAATGTTGCACACAGTAAGAGCCACGTTGTGGGATGACTGATATTGATAGACTTAACCCTTCTCAGCAATACAAGGATCTAAGACATCTCCAAAGGCCTCATGATGGAAAATGCTATCCACATCTAAAGAAAGAACTATAGAGTTTGAATGCAGATAGAAGCTTAATATTTGCTATTTTTTTTCTTCCATTGAGTTTTGTTTCCTCTTTTTGGTGGTTCCTCCTATTGGTTCTAATTCTTCCTTACAACATCACTAATGTGAAAATATGTTTAATAGGAATGTATATGTAGAGCCTATACCAGATTGTGAGCTGTCTTGGGGAGGGAGGTGGGGAAGGAGGGGGAGAAAAAATTTAAAATGCAAAAGCTTATGGAAGTGATTGTTGACAATTCAAAATAAATTAATTTTAAAAATTCACCTTTCCTGAAAAATCTTCCGTGATCAATTTACCTAATTTTGAGTACTCCCTTCCTGTGGATCTTTTCAGCATTTACACACTGAGTTTGAACTGCATTAATTTGTTGGCATGTTGCTTTGTATGCATTCTTGATGCCTCTGTCCTGTATTCCTAATTCTACTCCATATACTTCATGGCCAGAAAGTTCTTTCTGATGTCTAATCTAAATCTTTCCTGCTACAGTTCAAGGCATTGCTTTCTATTTTTCAAAACAGCATCTTCCTCATGAAAGTACAGAATCAGGTATCTTTGGAGAGGTTCAGAGACTGTGCTACCACTTGTTTCAAGGAAGAACAGTAGTCCTTTAATTTTTTTATTCAACATTTAATGAGCTTATGTTTGCACTGAAGACATCTAACACTGTCTCTAATGCCCACCCACAAGACAGGGCATCTGGCTAAGAACCAGGGAATTACTTTAGGTTTTTAGCTTACAAATATTCATGGTCTCAGTTTCTTACTGAGTTGGGGTTTTTTTTGTTTTGTTTTGTTTTGTTTAGGCATTTGGGTAAGAACCAGGGAATTACCTTTGGTTTTTAGCTTATAAATATTCATGGTCTCAGTTTCTTACTGAGTTGTTTTTTTTTTTAAGGCATTTGGGTAAGAACCAGGGAATTACCTTTGGTTTTTAGCTTACAAATATTCATGATCTCAGTTTCTTACTGAGTTTTTTTTTTTTAAGTCATGTTTAACATTCTTGTTGCTGTAGTGGAAACTTTTGTTCTTTGCAGAGGCCCAGGGTCAGATTCCTCACTAAAATCCGAACAACTTCTAAGGAGATTTCTTTCACCAGGGAGATTGTACCTTTGATCCAACTGTGGTTGGATTCCATGTTTAAGCCTCCTCAGAATCTCAAAACAGAGACATTGAAAACTATATACATTCACTAAAAAGTCTGGAATACTTGAGCAAATCCCTACTTAGGACTGAGTGTTCTTGAGTCTCAACCTCCTCTATCAATTTCTCCCACTCTCAGATGAACACTTAGTTAAAGGGTTTTTTGGAATGAGATGAAAGTGTTTGAATCTGAAGAGTCTTTGAAAAAATACATGTTGCTTCGCTAATGTAGACTCCAGCCCAGTGGTCCCTTTATGGCATTAAAAAGGTCACTAGAGGGGTTATTGAATGTCTCGGTCTATAAAAGGTGGTTCAATTTGGAGAGCTGGAGATCGAATTACCTTCCTCTGGGTATTAAGCAAGTTTGTATTATTTTCAGGGAAAACTAGGATTTGATACATGCAATGAAAAGTGAAATAGCTTGTAAGGAATAAATTGTCCCTTTCTGACCCACCTCCATCAAGGATGTGCTCTTGGAGTAATTTTTCTAGCAGTGGTTATAGATGTAGATTGGAGCAGAATTGAATAGACCTAGTTCTTGTCTTTGCACTGACATCAGCTAACAGTGTGATCTTGGACACACTACTTCCCCTCTCAGTGCCTCAGCTTCCTCCTCTGTAAAATGAGAGGGCCAGGACAATCTTTATGGTATAGTGGTTAGAACATTGGGCTTAGAATCAGAAAGACTCATCTTCCTGAGTTCAAATCTGGCCTTAGATACTAGCTGTGTGACCCTGGGCAAGTCACTTAACCCTGTTTGCCTCAGTTTCCTCATCTGCAAAATGAATTATAGTAGAACATGGTAAATCACTTCAGTATCTTTTGCCAAGAAAACCCCAAAATGGAGTCATGGAAAGTCAGACATGCCCGAAATAAATGAACAACAATAAAAAAAGGTCCTTTCCAGAGTGAGATGCTGGGATTCAGTGACCTTTCCAACTCCCCTAGTGAATGACTGGGATTAGGACTGTGAACTGTAGCTGTCTGTGGAACAGAAGTTTTTTCTCCATTTGAGAGTAACTGAACCATATGGGGATCTAACCCATAACCTTGGCTTCATTAGCACTGTAATTTAACTAACTGAGCTGACCAGCCTAGACAGAATGTTTAACATACACCAGCTGTGAAAATCACTATAATTCTTGCCTGACTACTGGTATTCACCTGCTGGACTTCTTGGAAGAGGCACAGTCAGGCGTGGAAACTGGTCAAGAAAAGAATGCCCATAGGAAGTGGAGTCTTGGGGGACTGCAGTGGGCCAGAACGAGGAGTGTTGGAGAAAGGAAATGATGAATAGCCTAGGCAATAGGGAGAAAGGAGTTTGGGGGCGAGAGTGGGAAAACCATGCTTTGGAAGACAACTTCGATAACAAATTTCTTTGTTACCAGCTTGTGGGAAGACTTGCTCAGATCACTGCTATGCCCTCTTCTCTCCTTGTAACACTGATGGAATGCTTAACAAAAATGTAACTAACAATATCATACAGGTTCTCTCTCAGGGCTGGGAAGGGTATAGAGAATGTCAAAAGATAGAATTAAAAGTTTATTTTTTAACGTTTTTTTTTTGAAAGATATTGGACGTCATAGCATGTATATACATGTCTTATGTCCTCAACTGGACTATGTATGAGTGTGCATACATACATATTTTATGTAAAAAATTGTTTTTTGGAAGGGAGGGAAGTGGGGGAAAGGGACATGTGGCATTCTTCACATCCTTCATAATGCCCTAGCATAGTGCTATGTGCAGAGGCACAGAGCAGACATTCAAATATTTGCTGATTGCTGATACAGCATAGGGCACCCTAGGTTACTGGACAGGAGCAGGTGAGGAGGCTGTAGGTGGGGCCAAGCATTGCCCGGCATCTGGAGAGCTCCTCAAAATCCTCTACGCTTGTGATGAGTGCAGAAAGAGGCAGGGCTCCCTCTGAGTCGGTCTTTTCTGAGTCTGTTCTTTTTCCCTAGAGAAGGGAACCTCCTTCCTCCTCTCTCTCTCCCCACTCCCCCTTGGGGGAGCTGTCTCTTTAAGGGAAGGCAGTAGCTTACATAGTAGCAAGCCAGTCCTGCCTCCCCCGGCTGTTCTGGGTTAGAGCAGGGACATTGGAAGGAGCAAGGAGCGGCCGCTGGAGAGAGTTTGTGTTGGGGGAGCAGGCCTGAGTCCGAGCAGAACATCCTCATGCATCAGTGCCCTCGGAAGGACCCCCCTACCCCACCCCTGATCTGTTGCCCTGAGCTTCCGCCCCCAGGCTCTGGCTCTTGGACACAAGATGGCCATTCTTAAAGACTGAGCTCAGGATCTGTAAAAAGAAACTTTGGAAATAGCTGGATGAACTTGGTAAGTGAAACCCCTAAGTTACATCCTCCTTCCCCTCTTCCAGGAGTGGAAGATTTCAGGTTTTGCCCTTGTTCATTATCTCTGCAGACAGCAGCCTTTTAGGAGAAGGGTGTGAGTGTATGTGTGTGTGTGTGTGGGGGGTGCAGCCAGGCAAATACAATAGGGGAGCAGAGCTTTCCCAGGGGATTGGAAATTGGGAGACATCAGGAGCAGGGGAGTAATATGATGTTTGCAGCTCTTGATTACCCCGCTAAGAGTGGCTTCCAGCACCAAGACATAGGATTAAGTATTGACATGCCGGGACCTTAGTTCTAAAGTGTGTATGCACTCCATTTGGGGTGGGGGTGGGGGTAGGGGTGGAGAATGAAGCACGTAGGGTTTTTTTAAGGGGGTGAAGAGAAGTTAGGAAAGACTGCTTCATTTCTCTTCAGCCTGGGAGAAGGAAATTTGGGCAATGAGAGTAGTGATTTGAGAAGCTACTGGGGGCTGCATGTATTTTGTTGTCTTGAGGAGTGAGGCTGGAAGGGTGAACAGCTGGGGAGACTAGAGTTTCAGTCCACTCAGGGAGTTTGAGTGCCAGTTCCTCTCCCAGGGTTTGAGAGGGCAGACGAATCCCCCCCTTCCCGTCCCCCTTCCTACCCTCCCCCCCCCCATTGCTGATTCGCCAGGAAAAGGGAGGTATGGCTCATTTGAACCAGGGACCAGTTTAATATGGGCAGTGAACTTAGTAAATTGTGGCCAAGTGGGAGAACTATTTCTAGCGAAGGGCAGTAAAGCATGGATGTCTCTTACTTCCATCTGGGAGCAATGCTTCAGTGTCTTAAGGAGGTTTGAGGAGCTCTCTAATTCCAGGCTGTGAGATGAGATCTGTGAGGAAGATCCCTGGGTCACTGATAGACCGAGGAGAATATGATTTCTCAATCTTTCCTACCCCTCATCATGCTACTGCTTGGGCATGCTCTCCCACCTCCATCCCCAAAACACACATCTAGGAGTAACCTGGGGAACAGTTTACCCTGTTTGACTTTTCCAAAACGGGAAAGAGCACTAGTGACCTCAGCTCTCAAGCTCTCTAATAGCCAGTCATTCTGAGAATGTATTTAGCTGGCTGTGGGAAGGGTGGTTTACCCTGATCTCACCCCGGGCAAGCAACGTCTCCTTTGCTGTTCTTATAGAGTCCAGGGGGCTGTATTTAGAGGGGCAGCAGGTAAAGATGTGATGACTAGGAAAATTAAGGGAAGAACAGAGGAAACTTCTTTTTGAGGCACCCTATCTCTCACTCTTCAAACATGAGATGTTCCCTGCCTGCAAAGTCTGAATGTAATATTCAGTTTAAGTCAGGGAAGCAGAAGCAACTATGAATCAGGGGCCATCAATTCGAATCCCAACTCCTCCCTGACTTATTCTGTGAATCACTGTGCCACTTGGTGTGGAATAGACTGGGCAAAAGTGGGAGTTTACCCCAGGGAGACTAGGACAGGTCAGGAACAGCATATGTGGCTTTCCCCCTAATATTAGTGATTCTCTGGTTGCTACTGAATGGCCAGCCTCTCCTTCCAGTCCCAGAAGTCAAGTGGAATGAGCAGCTAGATTATCCCTTGAGCTGAAAACCAAGAAAAGCAATATTTATTACAAAGCCTTGAGTTGTCTTGGCTGTGGACACACCACTTGATGCCACTGTATTTAGAGCCAACACTCCCTCCAGATCCCGATTTCTCTCCAAGCCCCACACCCAACCATTCCCCATGCCTGAAAACAGGGTAATGGAGAACTGCTTTATCATAGGAATAGAGGGGGTAGGAAATTTAATTAATGCCCCAGACACTAATATTATGTGGTTCTTCTGATTTTTGCCTCTTCCCCTTCCTCAATTAGTTCTTCCTTCTCTCTCTTACTACTACTTTGAGTACCTGACATAGGGCAAGGTATGGGCACATGAAGAAGTGGAAACACCCATCAAGGGAGATTTCAATGAATGTTGCCTCCAATCCACTGCATCTTTCCTCCTAGGCCCTGAACACCAGCAGTGGCCATGCCATTCGGGGAAAGCACAACCTTACCATATGTCTGGGTTCAAGAGTGTCCTGCAGCTAAATCTATCCCTTGCTTTGTAATCTGAGTCTGCTCCAGTTTCTGCACCAACCTGATCGGGTGTCCATGTTTGTTTTGACATCCAGTGTGGTGCATGGGGGGGAGAACAACTACAGTTCCAGATTTCAAAGCAAGAATTTTTTTACAGCAGCCGCCCAAGGCCAGGCCCCAACCAGCTGCTGTGCTCCCATGTTAGCGTTTTCAGTTAATTAAGAAAACAAACCCCAAATCCCTGACAGAGACAGTTTTCTAAATACTGGACAGAGCAGGTCTGTGTGAGCTTTTACGGGAGCTGTCTTAGGACAGGACAGGCTGATGGGGGTATTGAGGCCAACTCAGTAACTGAAGAGAAGTAGGAACCAAGCGAGTGAAGCAAGAAAAGTGGGAAGAGTGTGAACTAGAGAGAAGAACAACATAGAGTCTTTTTGATAGAGAAGTGTTATTGGTAGCTATGGGATGGGATGGGATGGGATGCCTTCCCTCAGAGAAACCCCAGAGTGATCTTGGCCTTTTTGATAAGCCCTTGACAGTACTAAGGGGCTTAGAATATCCCTGTTTGTTCCTTCTTGGGGGAGGGATTTAGGGGTGAAAGTGACCTTTTTGAAAATGAGGAATGTAAAGACCGATAAGCTAGGGCAGAAGAGAGAGAAGAGGGGGAAAAGAAGAAGGAAAAGGAGAGGGAACCTCATGGGAGAGTGATTTGAAAGCTTTCCCCTTCAGGTCTGAGTTTCCTTTCCAAGAATTAGGTTAGCCCAGGATAAAGAAGGATATAGAAGGCAAGTGATCAGTAATGCCTAAGGGAGAGCTACATGTGAACACTTAGTTAATTGGTATCAGTTTGAGCTTCCAGGAGGGAAGCCCTAATGTCTTTTGACTCAGTACATCACTTCTTTTGTCCATCCAACAATGCTTCATCCCTACTGGGCTCTGTAACTGTCCATCTCGGAGAATGGTATTGTGAAAGTCCCAGGTTCTGCAAAGACATAACAATGTATTTTTAATCTGCCTGGAGAAGGGAGGGCTCCTGGAGGAATTTGTAAAGCCACCAACTTTTAAATGTCAGTATATGGGTTGCATACAATATGGAATATTGGTGGCAGATTTTTAAACCTGGAGTGACTTTTCTGTATATCTCAGGATACTTCTGGGTCACCTCCAATGCTATTAGCCCTCTTTATCCAGAGAATGTAATTTCCCCCTTAATATTAGCTAGAATGAAAAATGTTTTCCTCTGAGAGAGAGGAGACAGTGTGGTACAGTCGAAAGAGCCCTTGAGTCTGTTTCAGTCACGTCTGACTCTTTGTGACCCCACTTGGGTTTTCTTGGCAAGGATACGAGAGTGGTTTGCCATTTCCTTTTCCAGCTCATTTTACAGATGAGGAAACTGAGGCAAACAGGATTAAGTGACTTACCCAGGGTCACACAGCTGGTATCTGAGGCCAGCCCTACGCTCTATGTACTATAGCGCCACCTAGCGGCCTGTATCTAGAAATAGAGAACCAAGGTTCAAATCCCGTCTCTAACATTTACTACTGGTGTGACTTTGCCTTAGTCATTTAACCTCCCTCGAGCCTCAGTTTCCTTCTTTTTAAAAATATAGGGGTTGGACCAACCTTCTACAAGAAGACTTTCCCAGTTCCTCTTAATTCTAGTACCTTCCCCCTATTGATTATCTCCAATTTGTCTTGTATGCAGCTTATTTGTTCATAGATTTTTATATGTTGCCTCCTCTGTTAGACTCTTTGAGAGTAGGGACTGTCTTTTGCCTCTTTTTTTTTCTTTTTGGTGAGGCAGTCAGGGTTAAGTGACTTGCCCAGGGTCACACAGCTAGTAAGTATCAAGTGTCTGAGGCCAGATTTTAACTCAGGTCTTCCTGACTCCTAGGCCAGAGCTCTATCCCCTGTATCACCTAGCTGTCCTATCTTTTACCTTTCTTTGCATTGATCTTCCTTAGTACTTAGCACATAACCTAGAACATAGTAAGCACGTAATAAATATTGATTGATTGATTGATGGTGATGAAAGTTGGGTAGCTGGAATATTCAGAAGCCCCTGTTTTTAGAAAATATCTGTAAGCAGCCTCTGGCCCTACCAGCACTCTCAAATATCCTGGTTAACAGGCTGGTTTGCTCTTTGTTTCTTACAATCTCAGGAGTTTTTGAGTAGGCAACTTATTATACCATCCTGATGAATTTCTCCTTGAACTCCATTTCTTCAGTTTGAGCTGATGTCAGCCTCACTGAGTCTGCCATGGGGACAGTATGGAGATGCGTATTGGGAGCAGGGTCAAGCTTACAAGCATTAATTAAGTTTCATGCCAGGTACTGTGCTAAGGGCTGGAGACAGAAGAAAGGCAAAAGGGGCAGCTAGGTGGTGCAGTGAATAAAGCACCAGCCCTGGGGTCAGGAGGACCTGAGTTCAAATGCAGTCTCAGACACTTAGTAGTTGTGTGACCCTGGACAATTCAGTTAATCTTGATTGCCTCAAAAAAAAAAAAAGGCAAAAACAGCCCCTGCTCTCAAGGGGCACCCGGTCTAATGAGGTAAATAACATGAAAAACATCTATGTACAAAGAAGACATAGGACAAATTGGACATGATCAACAAATGCATTAGCATTAAGGGGGTTGGGAAGGGGTTGTTGTAACAGATGGGATTTTAGCTGGGACTGAAAGGAAGCCTGGAGGTTCAGAGGAAGAGGATGAGCATTCTCGATATGGGGGACTGCCAGTGAAAATGTGTGGTGTCAGGCGATGGAATGTCTTGTTTGAGTAATAGCAAGAAAGCCAGTGTCACTGAATTGTAGTGTATGGAGGGGAGTAAAGTATAAAAAAGACTTGAAAGGTAAAATAAGGTTACCTTATGAAGGACTTTAAAAATCAAACAGAGGACTTTATATTTCATCCAAGA